CAAAAAAAACAACTTCCTTTTGGGTGGTGCCTGTGGCTCAAAAGGGTAGGGCACCAGTCCCATATGCCATAGATGGTGGGTTCAAACCCAGCCCTAGCCAAAAGCTGGGAAAAAAAAGAAAAAAAACTCTGGCAAAACTGCCCTTGTTTGATTAGAGGGATGAGCTGGAGCTCTGCAGTTCTGCAGTGAAGCACTCTCTGCTGAATCTTTCCTGGGTGTTTTCTGCCAAAGCTTTGGCTAACTTTCCCCAAACACTCTCCTCATAAGCAGATGTTATCATTCTTGGGACCCTCTGGAGAATCAACAACAAAAAAAATTTTTTTGAGAGAGTCTCACTATGTCACACTCGGGAGAGTGCTGTGGCATCACAGCTCACAGCAACCTCAAACTCTTGGGCTCAAGTGATTCTCTTGCCTCAGCCTCCCAAGTAGCTGGGACTTGGGAGAAGGGCTGGCCACGTCTGCAGCCAGTCTGGTTATCAGTGACAGCATAGGAACCTTTCCGGCAGCCTACTGGCTGCCCCCTTTTCAGAGTAACAGAGCACCCTCCTCTGCAGCTGGGTCACTGGACAGAACACGGACAGGCCCTGGCCCTGCCCTTGCTGGAGGATCCCGTGCTTCCTAAAGGAATCCCCCACCCTGTGCAGCACTCACTTCCCGAGGGCGGGTGCTGTAAATAACTTTCCCCTCCTCCTGCCCAGGAGGAAGGCTGTCTCCTGGCTTTGCTTACCTTGCTATGGATGAGACACTGCAGAGACAAAGCTTCCACACTGGGAAAAAATGGCCCGTGGGATTCCAAGTCTTCTATAAGTGCGTATCCCTGCCACAATTCAGTCTACAAAGTGACCGCCCGCTCCTGCCCATAGTATGAGGTCTCTGTTCAGTGAATTGAAAGTTAGATTCCCCAAATAAATAAAAGTAGGAGCCCCAATGAACAAGGAAAACATTTTTAGAATCACTGCAGGGAAGGGTTCCCCTGAAGGTTTCCCCCCAGAAGGTGACAATTGCTCATTTCATATTTAGTCTTTTAAAGGAAAAAACATTTTTTTGGGGGGGGGGCAGGGCTAGGTTTGAACCCATCACCCTCGGCATATAGGACTGGCGCCCTATTCCCTGAGCCACAGGCGCCAACCCCCCCAATTTTTTTTTTTAATTTAAAAATTAAACAGATCTCATTCTGTTGCCCAGGTTGGGGTGGCTCTTAGCTCACTAAAGCCTCGAACGCCTTGGCTCAAGTGATTTTCCTGCTTTAGATTCCCAAGCAGCTGGGACTAAATGCTGATGGAGAACCACGTCTGGCTGGATGCCTGACAAGACAATAAAAACCACAGAAGCCAGAATTCAAAACTTCACTGAATGGTAGAAAGAACATTTCTGCATTGTACAAGAAACACAATTCACCACCACCAAGCCTGGCTAATTTTTAAATATTTTATACAGATGGGGTCTTTCTATGTTGTCCTGGCTAGTCTCAAACTCTTGGCCTCAAGCGATCCTCCTGCCTTGGCCTCCCAAAGTGCGGGGGACTACAGGTGTGTGAGCCACTGCTCTGGCCAACATTTAGTCTAAACTTGCCAATTCAAGACAGGAATCTGAGATGTGCCACAGGCATTTGGATATTTCCCAGGCAATTCTCCACAGGAGTCTTGAACCCAGATGGAGCTCCAACATCTGCTTTGTCTACAGCCGAACAAGCAGCATGAGAGGGAAACAAATTTCTGTGACTCACCTTCATGGTGAAGACTTTTTTAGACTCTAAGAGCAGTGGTTCTCAACTTTCCTAATGCCACAATGTATTTTCTTTTCTTTTTTTGTAGAGACAGAGTCTCACCTTATGGCCCTGGTAGAGTGTTGTGGCATCACACAGCTCACAGCAACCTCAAACTCCTGGGCTTAGACGATTCTCTTGCCTCAGCCTCCCGAGTAGCTGGGGCTACAGACGCCTGCCACAATGCCCAGCTATTTCTTTGTTGCAGTTTGGCCAGGGCTGGTTTGAACCTGTCACCCTTGGTATATGGGGCTGGCACCCTATGCACTGAGCCGCAGGCGCTGCCCACTGCAATGTCTTTGCGTTGATAAAAAGGAGCTGTGACCCATAGGTTGAGAACCACTACTCTCAGAGTAAACCCATCTCCTTGGGTCTCTGAATCTACTGTCTCCTTCATAGAACAGGGATAGCAAGTTAACTAATTGCAGTATCCAATACCCACTGATTAATTAAAGTGGCATAAATGAAAACATGGGTCAGAGTGAGGCACAGAGAAGACATTGGTCCGTGATTGCTACACGCCAGCCTGCATTGTGCAGAAGAAAAGGTCAGAAGCCACCCCGTCCTGTAACTGGAAAGCTCATCAGATTTACTCAGGGCTAGTCCTTGAATTCAAACTCCCGATGAACCTAACTGCTGACAAGAGAAAATTCATTTGTGTGGCCTTTTTATAAACAGCCAGCCTGAAATAAAACGATAAAGAGACCCTCTAAAAAGCAAGCACCCTGCACATGGTGCTGTGATAGCTACCTCACCGTGCTGAGCAGAGGTGGTAGCAGGCTCTCACACCCTTGCATGCAGGGACCCTGAGCTCTGCCTCCTGCCACTGGGGCAGCATGTCCCCGGGTTCCCGGTCACCAGGAAGGAAGCACACCCACCAAATTCTCTAATATCAAAATAGAGCAATTTATTCAAGACACTGAATATGATCTGTTGATTCTCTCTTGAAACAAATGAGCTACGACACACAAGGTGATTCTTATTTTTTTTTTTTTTCCAAAGAGCGTGAGGGTGAGCATGGGTGGAGAAGAGAATGGAACAGGGGGTGGATGTCGTTTGAACAGAATCTGGAAAATGCTGATGGAGAACCACGTCTGGCTGTACGTCTGACACAGACAATAAAAACCGCAGAAGCCAGAATTCAAAACTTCAGTGAGTGGTGGAAAGAACATTTCTGCATCGGACAACAAACACAATTAAAAAAAAAAAAGTGAAACAAAGGTTAGAAGAGAGGAAAATAACACGGAACAAAGCAGACCCTTACGTTTGACAAAGTGCACTTCACTTGGCTCCATGATCTAGTTTTAAAAAGACGAAACGAGTCCAGTCCTACAGTGCTGTGGGGTCAGAGGGTTGAGCCCTGTTGCGTCCAGCCTGTTTGGTCCCCTGTGGGCAGCATCTGTTTCCCAGGTGTGTGGTACACAGCTGTTAGCCACTTCAAACCCTCAGAAAGACCTCAGAAGGGACAGAAGGGACCCTTGTGCTGTCTGCTCTCAAGGTTACGTTTGGTCACTAACACACTTTCCTCACTATTTTTTAAGAGCTGTAAATGACGAACGAAAACATTCCAACCAGGCCACCACCCTTGATGACAAAGATGAACCTGCCAACTTTCTGGCAGCCGAAGGATGAAGGAGGGCACTGGCCACATCCTCATGCTGGGCAGCCCTCTCGGCCAGTGGCAGGTGGGAAGCTGGGATGCAGACAGTCTCCGTTTGCCTGAGGGTTCCTCTAGGGCACAGGGATGGAGCCTGAGTCCAAGGTCACACAGCCCCAGGGGCCAACCTGATGATTCCAGTGAGTTCACATACCAAACTACAGCCAACACTTTGGAGAGACCCTGGCTACTGACACTCATGTGAAGATTGTCTAATGAATTCCTCACGGTACATCTGACCAGCACCATTGTGTGGCATTTGGGGTTGTAAAATGCAAGCTGTAGCTCAACGATGGGTTAATATTTGATGGCTGACACTCTGTAGAGATGAGTGCATTTTTATGAGTGGGGCAGTAAAGATGGTCTTCATCTGGGCCCCCCACAGACTGCCCCCCCCAAACCTAATGAGTCCTCAGGGCAGGAAGCTGTCAACTTGCCTGGGGACAATCTTCAAAGATGGGCATGGTGACATCACATAACTTTGGCTTTCTTTGCTAAGTTTTTAGGGAACAGAGCCTGAATAAAATACTCATCTCAGAAACAGAGCAGTCTTTTGGTCTTGAGGGTTTGAAGAGTTCACACAACCAAGTGCAAGACTGTGAATTAATTGAGAATGATTAACACACCTGGCTTTTGTGGCTGGTCCCAGCACATTCCTAGTCCTGGTCCTTCCCTGAAGGCTGTTTTTCAGCTCTGTGGATGGACGCCACCCTCTGATGATACCCTGTCTTGCTGCTAGAACACACACCGGACTGAACCCTTCCCACTGCCTGACTCGGCAGCCCTCAAGGGCCTGGCCAACTTCTCCAGGTCCTCCTCTGTCCGCAGGAAAGCCCGTGAGAGAGGAGGCCCTGTCCTTGGACTGTTCCCCAGTTGCTAATCCAAAAAAATAAAGTCAGTGTCGGCTCATGACAATGGGAGTACAAAGGTCGCCTGAACCAATGAAAGGAAGCTCTTCTAGGAACACAAAGCTTTGTTTAATTTTTTAAAAACAGTAAAAAGATTCATTATTTAAAAGAAAAAAAAAAGAATCTTTCTCCTAGTCTCTTGTGAGAGAAAGGAATCATAAAGGCGGCAGAAATTTCTAGTGACTTTCTACCTATGTAATTCATGTTCAGCACTGAAAAAATATCTTCCTTCCACGTTCACTTTTGTCATCATTAGACCAAGGGATATGCCAGGGGCCTTTATGTGGGATCTGCATGGAAGGACTTGCTGAGTGTGCCCTAATGGTGGAGCAGCTTGCTGAAGGAAAGATGTGGCCTGTTGCAGGCTCCCGGTGGAGAGGACGGTGCTACTCCATCAAGCTCCCGGTGGAGAGGACGGTGCTACCCCATCAAGCTCCTGGTGGAGCAGTCATTGCTGCCCTGCTGAGGAAAAGGTATGGCCTGTTGTGGGCCCCTGGTGGAGAGACCACTGGTGCCCTGTCATGCTCCTGATGGACTGGCCATTGCCACTGTGCTGAGGAAAAGGCATAGCCTGTCATATGCTCCTGGTGGAGTGGCCATTGCTGCCCTGCTGAGGGAATGTGTGGGTGACAGGCGGATCCAGCTGAGGTGTGGGCTTCTCCAGTGTACCTTCTGGTTCTGGAAACACTTCCTCAGGGTCCAAGCATGCCCCTGTTATCACTGCTACAGTAAACACACACTGCTCTTCCTCCAACCCAGAGCTGGGATCCTTCTCGCTGGCTGATGGAGGCCCCCACTGCCTCAGGTGTGATCACCCCCAGGGGCGACCTCCACGGGTGTTTTCCTGACCACCTTTCAGGAAGCTGAGGGGGGAGGGAAGAGTTTCCGCAGACCCTGCCTATGTCTTCTTAAATTCTTTTTAAAATATGAATCACACAAAGCTCTCTATGTCTGATGGCCATTTTAGGATTTTAAAATTGTTTTAACATAAAAATATTTTTTTTTTTTCCAAAAATACTCCAGGCTCTTTCTCTTATAAGTCATTTTTTTTTCTCCTGTAAAAAGTTCCCCGGCCCTGCCTTCTTACGTAAAGCACTTGTTATGCACCGAAAGTGCCCTTGAGACCTCAGATCTGAAGTGACTATGACAAAGGACAGAGACAGAGAGAGAGAGAGAGAGAGAGAGACAGGGGTGGGAGTGGGGGAGGATGCAAAGGGGGGGCAGGGACGGTGGAGGTGGGGAAAGCTGTCCACCGGAGATCTTCTCATCGTGTCCATGTGGCTGTGCCTATGGAGGGTGCAGGGAAAGCCAGACCTCCCCAGTCAGAGGAGGAAAGGTGGCGGGGGCGGCGGGCGATGGAGGGAAGGAGCAAACACCAACAGCAGTTTCCATCTCAGACCGCAGGCCCCGGATGACAGAGTCCCAGCCAAGAGATAAACCACCGAACAAAGGTCCTAGAGGGGAGAAGGCATTGTCGGATGATGAAGTTGCACTTCTCATGGTACAAACTGGTCGCTGAAGATCCTTTCCGAGAGCCACTGTAGTGTCCAAATCGTCAGGGGAAATGAAACAAAACAAAACAAAGTGATGCCACAGCGAGGGGGTTTGTGGGGCTTTTTGTTCTTCCCCTTTTGGTAGGTTTATCACAGCATTTTTCTTTTTCTTTACTTTTTTTTTTTTTTTTTTGGCACAGCTTTTAAAATTGTTTTCCACTCTGTTGTGTTCAGTCATCACAGAGCCTGTTCCGGATGGAAACATGTACCATCCACCTGGTGGCCTTGCGTTCCCTGGGCTGACTGTCCTCGGCGGGGACCATTCTTTCCCCCTTTGATATGACCGTGTGTTTGCTTTTGCTCTGGTTTGCCTTTTGTGTTTTATAAACTTCTTAATGAAGATTATGATAAAAATACAGCCTCCTGCAGCCAGGGCCAGGCTGGTCTCAGAGTACACACTAACCAGGTCAGTCTGCGCCATTCTGGAGCTGACAAGAGCTGTGCCTGAACAGTGCCGCAGCCTCACACATTCCCTGCTGGTCCTTTAGAATCCTTTGTCTCTTTTTTCCGTGACATTTTGTGGTCACTTCCGCAGATCCAGAACACACACCTGGAAGGAAGGACAAAGCACCTGTTATCCTGAGAGCCCATGTGAAGGTGCGTTTAGAGCCAGGTGGGCAGGCCAGTGTCTGAGCATCCAACCCGCAAGACTCAAGCAAACAGCATGAGGAGGAAAGCAGGGCCAGCAGGGTGCTGAGAACTGAGGGGCGTGACTCTCGGCTGGCGTCCAGGCCGGATATGTATGATGGTGACCCAGATGGAAAGCAAGGCTAAGTGTGGAGCTGTGGGAACAAATGGGGGCCACACTGACACACAGCCAGCCAGCCAGAATGCTGTTTATCTTAGAGGTCAGGGCAGCCCAAACTCCTGGGGCCAATAAAAAATCTAGATGCCCCATGGTTGTAGAATCAGGCCCACCAGTGCCCAGGAGGCCTGTGGAATGAAAGGCCATGTCTTGGTACCAGTGGGGACCCAGACTTGGGCATGAGAGGAGTGAGCTGCTCCTTCCCGACAACAGTGACATCAAGGGCTGGATGGCCCCATCCTGTGCTCTGTGGGAGGCTGAGCAGTGTCACTGTTGTCCACTCACAAATGCCAAGAGCACAGTCACGTGTGTGCCGTAAAAGTTTCCCTCAATGACGCACCACACAGACAACACAGCAGTGGGCCCACTCAATGACAGTGCTGGGTCTTTACCGTGCCTTTTCTATGTTTGGATGTGGCAAGAACACTCGCCATTGTGTTACCACTGCCTATAGTCAATGGTAGTATAGGTGTGTGGGCCAACGTCACACCATATACCCTGGGTGTACAGGAAGGTGGCCGGGCCACGGGGTCTGCAGGAGTGACGAAATCACCTGATGATGCGTTTCTCAGAATGTGTCTTCCTCATTCAGTGACACCCTTCCAGACACTGTTTAATGCCCCCCAAGGGAGAGAATCACCTATGCTGAGAGCCACAAATTTAACTGCTGATTAGAGTGACTGCTGTAAGGGACAAAGAAATGGACATTCCCAGATGTGGTGCCAACCCGGATGGAATCCAGTGCGAAGCTTCCTTCCCCTAAGACACGCTGGCTGAGAGACTGCTGTGTGCCAGATGCTGAGCCGCCTCCTCCAGGACATAAATGCCACTGACACTCCAGGAACCCACTCAGGATCAGCCACGTGGTGTCACTGCCCCACCCACACCCCACCACCACCACCCCACCCCCCTGCCACCCGGCACACCAGAGGTGCTGCTTACAGAGCCGTCGGACGCGCTGGCCCCCACTTTGTCTCCTCGGGCGTTCCAGCACACCTCAAAGATGCCGCCGGTACCTCGGTAGCTGTGGACGAGACTTCCACTCTGCAAAGCAAAGCAAAGCGGTCATCACTGACACGGTGCCTCTGGCTCCCGCCCTGTCTCCATCACAGGTACTCAGCCACCAGCCCCTCACCTGCCTAACTGTCTGTTTCTTTGACAAACAGCTCCCTACCCCGCTAGCAATGAAAACAGCTATCTAATGATTAACTATTGATTAAATGTTATCAACATGTCATGAAGTTAAAGCCCACATTATTTTTTGGACAATTAGTTTGAAAGCTCAAATATATAACATACATTGGATTCTGCTTTAAAGCAGCATTACGTTGACAGACATAAGAGACAGGGGAAGGATAAGGCTTTGAAGTACTGAACAAACTGTCACTAGTCACGGGCAGGACAAATCTGAAGACTGAGACCAGGGGAGTTCTCACAAAACCCTGGCTCAAATTCACTCTTTAACGCAGCGGTTCCCAACCTTTTTGGTATTAGGGTTCGGTTTCATGAAAGACAATTTTTCCACAGATTGAGGAGGGAGTGATGCTATCCCATTACATTTACTGTTCACTTTATTTCTATTATTATTACACTGTATTTATAGTGAAATAATCGTATGACTCTCCATAACGCAGAATCAGTGGGAACCCTGAGCTTGGTATCCTGCAACTAGATGGTCCCGTCTGGGGGTGATGGGAGATGGTGACACTTGAACTGTGTTGTTGCTATAAAGCTGGCCACCATATGCAGCTTACCTGTCACTGGCCACTCACTGATAGGGTTTTCTTTTTGTGAGACAGAATCTCATTATGTCACCCTAGGTAGAGTGCCGTAGTGTCACAGCTCACAGCAACCTCAAACTCTTGGGCTTCAGCAATTGTCTTGCCTCAGCCTCCCAAGGAGCTGGGACTACAGACACCTGCCACAATGCCTGGCCAAGTGATAGGGTTTTGATATGAGCCTGCAAGTAGTTGATTTATTACGGTCTCTGTGCAACCCCCTCTGCTGATAATCTGTATTTGCAGCCGCTCCTCAGTGCTAGCATCACCACTTTAGCTTCACTTGGAGCACTTAGCATTAGATTCTCATAGGAGCCACAACCCAGATCCCTCACATAAGCGGTGTACAGTAGGGTTGATGCTTTTGTGAGACTATAATGTCGTCACTGATCTGATGGGAGGCAGAGCTCAGGCAGTGATGTGAGGAGGAGCGGCTGTAAAGCAGCTGTAAATACAGAAGCAGCTTCACTTTCTGGCCCACTGCTCACCTGCTACTGTGCTACCAGTAGACGGCCCAGGGGGTGGGGACTGCAGCTTTAATAATGGCATTCTGTGTACTGGGAGAGGACCAAGTCAATAGGATTCTGTATTTTATTTTCATATTTAGAGACGGATTAAAATGAGCTTAAAGACTTTCTTTTTTGGTTTATCAAAAAGGGTTGAAATGATTCATTGAGTTCATGATGGCAGGCTGCAGCTAATTGAAATGGCTTTTTTTTTTTTTAAAAGATGGGGGGGTCTCACTCTATTGTCCTGCTTACAGTGGGAGTGGCACCATTATAGCTCACAGTGACCTCAAATTCCTGGGCTTAAGTGACCCTCCTGCCTCAGACTCCCGAGTAGCTGGGACTACAGGTGTGCTGTCACAGCTGGCTAATCTTAAAAGTCTTTTCATAGAGGTGGAGTCTCACTATGTTGCTCAGGCAGGTCTCAAACTCGTGAGCTCTAGGGATCCTCTGCCTCCTGGGCCTCCCAAAGTGCTAGGCTTATAGGCATGCACTACCATGCCTACCTAATCACGTCATTTACTGATATCATTTCACAAATACATCCACGGCAGCTATTTCTAGCAAGCACTTCATGCATAGAGACCTTTGCACATTAGTCCTGAGGTGCATGTTTCCTGGGAGGCCCTTCTAGAGCTGTGGGACTGGGCTTGGCATCAAGCTGCTTCTACACTGGGTCCACCATTCCCTCCCCTCCCTTGAGGGGGTGTGGTTTGTGTAAGTTCCTGAGGAGCCTGTGATCTCAGGGGACCCCTTGCAGTGTGTACTGCTCATCTACAATCTCCTTCTGCCAGAGGGGGCATGAACTTGACAGAGCAAATCCACCTCGCTGTCAGATCCAGTGGGGTGTAAGCCATCCTGGGGGCCGACCAGTGGATCCTTGGTTATTTTCTGTGACTCCTGCCATCGCCCTATTGGTCTCTCCCGTGAGAAAGAGAATGAAGGGCTGACTGCCCAACTCAGTCCTTATACGACATGGGACTAGTCCCCAACATTTCCACTCTTCCAGTTCAGGACTTGTCCATCATCAGGTGTGGCCAGAGGCACCCACAGTTGATCCTGTCCCCTTGTGGTCCCTGATAAGAGGACAACCCAACATTGATATACCCCGGGCTACTAAAACAAAACATTTTCAGCTGCAAGTCTCAGTGGTGTGACAGCAACAAACACGTTCCTTTGGAATTCCCTGATTTGCTCCTCAGCAGGGATGAGGGAGCAAATGGAGCTGGTGTGGACAAGGGCAGCAGAGCCAGCGTCCACCCAGGAGAGGGATGGAAGGATGTTGCCCTGCTCTCCAGCCTTGCTGTCCAGAGGGCAGTATATCCAGGGACAAGGTAAATGCTTCTGCTCCTTCCAGATGCTCCTGGTATCCGCCAGGAGGACCAGGCAGACCAGGCAGGTGGAAAGTCTCATGCCAGACTCAGAAAATTGAACAGAAGATGGTGGCTCTTGCTCTAAGATGATGAGGTCAGAGCTTGGGCTCTGAGTCACATAGCTGACAGCCCTTTGGACAGCAGAAGCTGACCAAAGTGTCTCTCTTGGGGAAAGATGCCACAGCCCACAGCACCTGGCCGATAGTGCTCATGGGAGTGTGCTCCATTCATCGCAAGCACGAGCGCCATCTTAGCCTGGTCCCTGGGAATGTGACTACTGCAGGCGCCAGCTTACCTGAGTATTCCAGATGTGGACACACTTGTCAAAGGAGCCGCTGGCCAGGTATTTCCCATCAGGGCTGAAAGCTACGCTGTAGACAGGCTCCTGATGCTTGGTCAGCGTGTGGGTGCAGACGCCTCGCTCCACATCCCACAGCCGGACCGTAGAATCAAACGAGGCGCTGGGAGGACGGGAGAGAAGACACAGCCATGTGAGCGTGCTGGGTGGGAAACTTTCTCCACACTGGGTGACGGGGCTCGGAGGGCTCATCTTTCTGAGCTTTTATGTTTTGAAATACGATAAACTGGTGAGGCTTTTCTAGTCTAAAATGCAATAAGATGTATTGAAAATAGG